TATTTATATTTATATTTATATTTATATTTATATTTATATTTATATTTATATTTATATTTATATTTATATTTATATTTATATTTATATTATATTTATATTTATATTTATATTTATATTTATATTTATATTTATATTTATATTTATATTTATATTTATATTTATATTTATATTTATATTTATATTTATATTTATATTTATATTTATATTTATATATTTATATTTATATTTATATTTATATTTATATTTATATTTATATTTATATTTATATTTATATTTATATTTATATTTATATTTATATTTTATATTTATATTTATATTTATATTTATATTTATATTTATATTTATATTTATATTTATATTTATATTTATATTTATATTTATATTTATATTTATATTTATATTTATATTTATATTTATATTTATATTTATATTTATATTTATATTTATATTTATATTTATATTTATATTTATATTTATATTTATATTTATATTTATATTTATATTTATATTTATATTTATATTTATATTTATATTTATATTTATATTTATATTTATATTTATATTTATATTTATATTTATATTTATATTTATATTTATATTTATATTTATTATATTTATATTTATATTTATATTTATATTTATATTTATATTTATATTTATATTTATATTTATATTTATATTTATATTTATATTTATATTTATATTTATATTTATATTTATATTTATATTTATATTTATATTTATATTTATATTTATATTTATATTTATATTTATATTTATATTTATATTTATATTTATATTTATATTTATATTTATATTTATATTTATATTTATATTTATATAGATGGCCAAAATTTTTTTTCGCGGGGTGGCCCTTTTTTTCTAGTTCCGCCACTGGCCTGCTCTGTATAACATATAAACAAACATGGCGTCTGTTGGATGTCTACTCTTCAAATATTTCTTGACGACATTATAGTAGAGCTTTATTAAACTTTAAATTAATTATCTAGTTATTTTTATCAGAGAAAAAGTTGTTGATTGTTTGTAAATATAAACGTAAATAAACAGTTTTAAAGCAACACGTTTTCTTTTTCATTTTTGTTTGTTTAAATCTAATGACTCTCAGCATTGACGCTAAAGTTTGGATCTAGCGACTGTCAATATTAACGCTAAAGTTTGGATCTAGCGACTCACAATACTGACGCTATTATGGATCGCTAGATCTAGGATTCTTCACTGTACTTGACTTGACAATTTAACACTTACGTCATGATCAACACCTTGATATTACTGTACTATACTTACTTAGTTACTGTAAGATTTAACTCCAAAGTTATACACTTAACCCATATTATCCCAAGGTCTCAAATTTTTATAATTTTTTGATATGGTTTAGCTTTTGGGCACTGAATAAAGGAATGACTATGGATTTTTTTTTAAAATCAATACTTTTTTAAATATCGATTTTTTAAAAAACGTCCCATAAATGGGACGCTAGCAACGAACGGCCCCATGTACATTTATTGAAAAATAAAATCATTTATCACGAAATATGGCTATTTACGCGAAATTTAAACTGTATACTGATTTTGTATTGTTAGACCAATGATTACATTGTTTAGGACAGCTAAAAATACTGATAATGATCAATTGGGTTAGCCATACCATGGTCAAAAATGCAGAAATTATGTTCAAAAGTCTAGTTTTCTTTCAATCTAGCATCCATCAAAGTGAATAACACTTGGAAATAAGTAAAGCTGTGACTAGTACATCTAATTAGACACACATGATCACAAATATTGTTATTATTCATCAAAACTGTAATATAATTAAATATAAATAATTGATTTTTTGGTGGGCGTACTTGAAATTTTCAGGGGTGGGGACTTAAATTTCAGGGGAAGGGTGGACATTGGTAAAAGTATGTTTTGTATATAAATTCCATTTTGTTCTGGGGGCAGAGCCCCCCTCCCCCTCCTCCGAAATTATGCCTGAAAGAAACTCTGCCCTCAGTGAATTTGCAAAAGATGATCCGGTCCAGTCCCCAGATGTCATCCAGCCATCTTCTCTTTTGTTACCCTCGCTATTCCCCCCCCCACCCCTCACAGGCGTACATTAGGACATAAGACATCTTATTTCTAGGGCACGGATCCGTCTCTGGGGGCTTGTATTGAGTGTTCATGGCTCTCATCCATGTATGCACCTCACTATGCGAACGGCTCTCAATCTAACACCAGCAATCTCCTTAAAAAGTTAACAAAGTAAAACTGGTATTGGGAACCTTTGGAGGAGAATATTATTGGGGCATGACAACTGTACACAGCTAATTCACATTTCTGCTATATGTAGCTTAAGCTCTCTGATATGAAGAGAGTTAACCAACCCCCATGACTGAATCATTTCACCTAAATCGTGGCCATTGTTATTATTCTGGTTTGTTATAATTTTAATATTACGCGCTAGTAAATTTACAGCAATACTAAATTAGTTTGTATTCAATGGTATTAAATACTTCAGTAAGTGTAATTCTGAAAACTTAAAAATAAAATGTAAGTTTTTCAATATTTGCTATTTTTTAATACAATAATATATAAGAAAATATAGCTCAAGGTCATAATTAAATATCTATAAATACTACTTAACACCCCAAAGTCAACAGTTAACAAAGTCAACAATTGTTTCACCATAAATAACCATTTAACATAAATATTTGCATCTGTGTTTCTCGCTAGTGTCCAATAAATGTGACGTTTGTGTAACAATCTGCATAAATATAGGTCAAGGTCATAATTACATATCTATAAATACTACTTAACACCCCAAAGTCAGCAGTTAACAAAGTCAACAATTGTTTCACCATAAATAACCATTTAACATAAACATTTGCATCTGTGTTTCTCGCTAGTGTCCAATAAATGTGACGTTTGTGTAACAATCTACATGGGGCCATTCGTTGCTAGCGTCCCACTTATGGGACGCTTGTTGTACACTTGATATAATGAAGTAGTAGAAAAAAATTGTTATTCTTAAATTTTTATCAGAAAGAAATATGGTACTGCTACAAGTTTCAAATGTATGTTGCACTTAAAATGTTAATATTTTAGAAGATATGCATTTTCCTGTGCACATGTTTTCTTTTTTCCGCCATTTTGACAAGTCCTGCAAATCCGGCACTATAACATTTTTCTAAATTAATTTTTTTCGAAAAACACACACACATTCAATAGTCTAGCCATTTTCAAATACAATTAAACATAATTTGTGTTTTAACTAGTTTTTAATAAATTTTAGCAATTTTTTTTACAAGTGGGACGCTAGCAGAATATGGGTTAATACCTGATGTTTACATAACCTTGGCTTAGTGTCTACAGTAACCTGATATTCTAGGGTTAGGGTTATTAATTAATGGGTTTATCATTAATGATTTTTTGTCTATGGAGGAAATAATATCAACATGTGGCAGTTTTAAAAATCTTGAATTATGCTACATTTTTTTACAAGAAGCAAGACGAACCAATGTGATTTACGGTCTAAGAGAAGCAACAATGAAAACAGAAAAATACTTTAAGAAACTTGAATCATGTACCTTTAAAACTTGTTTGGATATTTTGTATGTATGTAATTTTTTTTTTGCTTAGACGTCTGTATTCCAATTTATTAAGTAAGAAATTAAACAAAAAGAAATAAATTATAAATTTTGTATTATACATTTTTTAATTCACTGCGTGTACAGTCTTGTTTGACACGTGACTTAGATGTAGGGGATAAACTACTGCAGATGGTGAGGCGGTTTTATGGTCTATGTGTGAAAGTATGGGACAAATACAAGAGGCGTTGAGATGTGGACAAGCTGACCATTATAGTGTCACATCCTCATGGCTGTTCTAAGCATGTCTCTGTAGGTCACTGGGTACACAGGCAGGTCGATGATGGCTGAACCAGGTAAAAGTACACATTGTACACTTGTCCAGGTAGTACTGGGGCTCTGAATAAAATAATAGCAGTTTACATTTGTTTGTCCAGGTAGTAGTGAGGCTCTGAATAAAATAATAGCAGTTTACATTTGTTTGTATGTTAGACTGCTATTATAGAAGACTTAAACAAACATTATGTGTGGAGTGATTGATGGCGGTGTGGTTTAAACAACAGCGGGACTCAGACATGAAAATTTTAATCGAGTAGACGAGATAAAGCGGGGACCACAACACTAGGACGTGACGGTCAAAGGGAAGTTATCGTTAAAAAGAAGAATTTTTTTTAGTAATTTAAAAAAAAAATCATAAAAAAACGTTTTAATAACAAGCTTTTATGTAATAATGCACTAAAAATTAGAACATAAATTATAGACTACTATTTAAATTACTATAACTTTAGTTTCTATTAGATACCTTTACTAATATTTAAGAAGAGACCCACGCTTTTCTTTATAGTAATTAAAATAGTAGTGTCAAATTTATTTTCTACGTTTTAGTGCATTATTACATAAAAACGTGTTATTAACGTTTTTTATAAAAAAATGTTAGTACTTTACACGTTTTTATTTACAATAGAGTTACATGATTAAAAACCATTGACCGCCTATTGAACGCGATGATGCGAGTGGAGCAGTGGGATAAACAGCCTTCTAATTTGGGCAAAATTGTAATTAATTCATACAAATTTAATTAGGCATCCAATTAAGTCAAATTGAATGTCATGATGCATTGTCTTCATGTCTTGACCCACGTACCAACTACGAACAGTCAATGTTAACAGAGTCAATGTTTAGTTATAGTAGTCAATGTTAGAAGAGTCAATGTTAAGTTATAGCAGTAAATGTTAACACAGTCAATGTTATGTTATAGTAGTTAATGTTAACAGAGTCAATGTTAAGTTATAGCAGTCAATGTTAACAGAGTCAATGTTAAGTTATAGCAGTCAATGTTAAGTTATAGCAGTCAATCTTAAGTTATAGCAGTCAATGTTAAGTTATAGCAGTCAATGTTTCGCCTTACCTTCACTTTTAGTCCTCCTCTGAATCTGATTCTAACCCACGTGAAGACAAAATCGTGCGAAATTCATTGGACAGTTTGTAGAAAATATCTGATGTTCGTAGGATATTGCTTTTCACCCCATGGGCGATAAGTAATTTTGATATCCGCCTTGAGTGCCCCACTCTTAGCTCAGGCTTGTAGCCTTTTATTGTCTGGCTTAACTTTTCAACGTTGAATCCAGTCTCTTTATTACATTCTCTAAGGCACCATGAGATATCAGACTGCGTCATTATTGCGCTGCTGGGGAAGCCCACACTGCAAAAAAAAAGAAAAACCGAGAGGATCATAACACGTCTCTTAAAGCTGATTACCCTGTGGGAAGTCGGCTTATTGTAACCCATTTAAAGGAAAGTCACTTAATCAAATCTGACGGTCTATAGGGCAAGTGAAGTAGAGTTTACTTGCTTCTGTGACCTCGACTTATGAAGAGATAATGTGGTCAGCACCATGCCCAGCCGCCTTACTTTCCCTAAATGAGTTAGTTGCCCATCTGAGTTTGGTGGACTCAGGGACGGTCTACTGTTTTAAACCCGAAATCGAACTCGAGACTTACGGGCTAGCAGTCCAGCTCATAGGTTGGCCAGGAAGAGTCAAGTTGTTTGTGTGACCACTATTTATATGAAAAGTGGGGACAGCACTACACTTAGCAGCCTTTACTTACCCCAACGTCAGCATGTTCACATTCTCCTTCAAAGTGTAATAGCGATCAGATTCGCAAATAAAATTGTCTTTCAGCGCTTCCTGAATGACTACACTGACTATGTGCCGTGCTTGAGTGGTGTCTATGTCCGGGTGGTGAGATGTTAGACCTTGAAAGAGCTTTTCAGAGTTAAATCCATGCTGTCCATCGTTGCTCACAAGAAGGCCAAAAATCTCTAATAATGTCACATTTCCTGCTCCATTGAGCAATGAATTAAACAGACCCGCCATCCTGAAAATATAACAAGCTCTAATAATGTAACATTTCCTGCTCCATTGAGCAATGAATTAAGCTGGCCCGCCATCCTGAAAATATAACAAGCTCTAACAATGTAACATTTCCTGCTCCATTGAGCAATGAATTAAACAGACCCGCCATCCTGAAAATATAACAAGCTCTAACAATGTAACATTTGCAGCTCCATTGAGCAATGAATTAAGCAGGCCCGCCATCCTGAAAATATAACAAGCTCTAACAATGTAACATTTTCAGCTCCATTGAGCAATGAATTAAGCAGGCCCGCCATCCTGAAAATATAACAAAGAGCACCATTTGACGTCTACAACAACACAATGCTCCATAAGACAACTTTAAAAACACAATGTACCATCAGACGTCTATAAAAACACCATGCACCATAAGACGTCTATAAAAACACAACGCACCCTATGACGTCTATAAAAACATAAATCACTAAATGACGTCTATAAAAATAGAATCCATCCGATGACGTCTATCATAACACAATACACCATTAGACGTCTATAAAAACAAATGCACCATATGACGTCTTTAAAACACAATGCACCATATGACGTCTACAACAACACAATGCATCATATGACGTCTATAAAACACAATGCACCATATGACGTTTATAAAAATATAATGCAATCTATGACGTCTATAAAAACACAATGTACAATAAGACGTCTATAAAAACACAGTGCACCATAAAACGTCTTTAAAAAACAATGCCCCATAATACATCTATAAAACACGATGCACCATAAGACGTTTATAAACACACAATGCACGTACCGTTGGTTAGCTCTTCAAACAGTTGGACTAGGAGGAGGACAGCGTGAACACAATCGGCTTACTTGCCCGTCTGGGGAGCTTGACAACAGTTTGGTTCTCTACAATTATCTGAAATACATTAGTTCTCTACAATTATTGTTAGACATTAGTTCTCTACAATTATTGTTATACATTAGTTCTCTACAGTTATTGTTAGACACTAGTTCTCTACAATTATTGTTATACATTAGTTCTCTACAATTATTGTTATACATTAGTTCTCTACAATTATTGTTATACATTAGTTCTCTACAATTATTGTTAGACATTAGTTCTCTACAATTATTGTTATACATTAGTTCTCTACAATTATTGTTAGGCATTAGTTCTCTAAAATTATTGTTATACATTATTGTTATACATTAGTTCTCTACAATTATTGTTATACATTAGTTTTCTACAATTATTGTTATACATTTGTTCTCTACAATTATTGTTATACATTAGTTCTTTACTGTTATCTGGTATACATTAGTTATCTACAATTATTGTTATACATTAGTTCTCTACAATTATTGTTATACATTAGTATCTGTTATATATTAGTTGATGGACAGATCATTGGACTCGGTGTAACATGGCCTATGTTCAACGACGGTACTCTGTAGTCGGATGGTAACATGGAGTATGTACAACGACGGTACTCTGTAGTCGGATGGTAACATGGAGTATGTACAACGACGGTACTCTGTAGTCGGATGGTAACATGGAGTATGTACAACGACGGTACTCTGTAGTCGGATGGTAACATGGAGTATGTACAACGACGGTACTCTGTAGTCGGATGGTAACATGGAGTATGTACAACGACGGTACTCTGTAGTCGGATGGTAACATTGAGTACGTACAACGATGGTACTCTGTAGTCGGATGGTACAGCGTACGACCCCTAAACCGAAAATCTCGAGTTCGGATCCCGGGCTGGAGTCCATAGGACGTCCCTGAGTTTGCCCAGCTGTAATTGGTACCTGACTTGAGTTAAAATTAGTTGGTTGTCCATAGGACGTCCCTGAATTTGCCCAGCTGTAATTGGTACCTGACTTGAGTTAAAATTAGTTGGTTGTCCATAGGACGTCCCTGAGTTTGCCTAGCTGTAATTGGTACCTGACTTGAGTTAAAATTAGTTGGTTGTCCATAGGACGTCCCTGAGTTTGCCTAGCTGTAATTGGTACCTGACTTGAGTTAAAATAAGTTGGTTGTCCATAGGACGTCCCTGAGTTTGCCCAGCTGTAATTGGTACCTGACTTGAGTTTAAATTAGTTGGTTGTCTGATAGTGAGATAAATAGCCCTGATAACATGTTTGTTTTGTTATTTAGCATTACCCTAAGTCAATGCTGTTGATCGAGATGTGTTTACATTACCCAGGGTTGAATTTATAATACAGTCTAGATAAAACTGTATGTATTCGTAAATAACTAAATACTGGTTTAGCGGAAGCATCCTGTTATAACTTGGGCTTGATGAAAATAAATAGAAATGTAACCTTAAACTCATCAAATTATTTTTAAGTTCTCTGGGTTTGAAATTTTCATAGCATTGATTCCAAAAACATAAAATTTCTGAATAAATTTTCGGCTGAAGTTTTTAGTTTGTATTATTTTTTACGGTCGCTTTGTTTCCTAAATCTAAAAAAGCACGGTTTTATTCCGTTTTAACAACATGATGGAAGGATTCTCGACAACTTGCTCGCCTCCATTCTATTTTCATGCAAAACTGTCAAACGGTTGGTAATTTAGAAACCCAAATTTAAAAAAAACATCATATAAGTAGTATTATAGCTAGTCAGCAAACGACACAATTACCTTTTTATACTTGAATTTACATTTAATTTTTAAATTATTTACTCATTTAGCAGCCAGAGAATCAGGCGATGTTTTAGAGATGGTGCGCTATGTTCGATATTCCGTTCACTACTCTCCTCAACACGGTGCTAAATGGTGCGACCTTGCAGGTAGACTTTCGATTTGATAAAAATAAATCTCCCAGGCTAAATATGAAACATCGTACTCGCTTTACTTAGTTAATGATTCGGCTATTAATTTTGATGTGTAACTTTTCACATATTGTAAAAAATATTATTTATCTTTTAGTTAAGTAAAATACCATTTATAATACGAGCATTAGATCTATATAATTAAGATATGGTGTGCTCAGCATTGAGACATTAATTTTATCATAGGAAACAGTGTCGACATGTACCCAGACTGTACTCTCTCCCGTGGCTCTACTCTGTCACGTGGCACTACTCTGTCCCGTGGCTCTACTCTGTCCCGTGGCTCTACTCTGTCCCGTGGCTCTACTCTGTCCCGTGGCCCTACTCTGTCCCGTGGCTCTACTCTGTCCCGTGGCTCTACCCTGTCCTGCGGCTCTACTCTGTCCCGTGGCTCTACTCTGTCCTGCGGCTCTACTCTGTCCCGTGGCTCTACTCTGTCCCGTGGATTTACTCTGTCCCGGGACTCTACTCTGTCCCGTGGCTCTGTCCCGTGGCTCTACTCTGTCCCGTGGCTCTACTCTGTCCCGTGGCTCTACTCTGTCCCGTGGATTTACTCTGTCCCGGGACTCTACTCTGTCCCGTGGCTCTGTCCCGTGGCTCTACTCTGTCCCGTGGCTCTACTCTGTCCCGTGGCTCTACCCTGTCCCGTGGCTCTGTCCCGTGGCTCTACTCTGTCCAGTGGCTCTACTCTGTCCCGTGGCTCTACTTTGACCCGTGGCTCTACTCTGTCCCGTGGCTCTACTCTGTCCCGTGGCTCTGTCCCGTGGCTCTACTCTGTCCAGTGGCTCTACTCTGTCCCGTGGCTCTACTCTGTCCAGTGGCTCTACCCTGTCTCGTGGCTCTGTCCCGTGGCTCTACTCTGTCCCGTGACTCTACTCTGTCCCGTGGCTCTACTCTGTCCCGTGGCTCTACTCTGTCCCGTGGCTCTGTCCCGTGGCTCTACTCTGTCCAGTGGCTCTACTCTGTCCCGTGGCTCTACTCTGTCCAGTGGCTCTACCCTGTCTCGTGGCTCTGTCCCGTGGCTCTACTCTGTCCCGTGACTCTACTCTGTCCCGTGGCTCTACTCTGTCCCGTGGCTCTACTCTGTCCCGTGGCTCTACCCTGTCTCGTGGCTCTGTCCCGTGGCTCTACTCTGTCCCGTGACTCTACTCTGTCCCGTGGCTCTACTCTGTCCCGTGGTTCTACTCTGTAGTGTGGTTTACTCTGTCCTGTGGCTCTACTCTGTCCCGTGGCTCTACTCTGTCCCGTGGCTCTGTCCCGTGGCTCTACTCTGTCCCGTGGCTCTGTCCCGTGGCTCTACTCTGTCCCGTGGATCTACTCTGTCCCGTGGCTCTACTCTGTCCCGTGGCTCTACTCTGTCCCGTGGCTCTACTCTGTCCCGTGGCTCTACCCTGTCTCGTGGCTCTGTCCCGTGGCTCTACTCTGTCCCATGACTCTACTCTGTCCCGTGGCTCTACTCTGTCCCGTGGTTCTACTCTGTAGTGTGGTTTACTCTGTCCTGTGGCTCTACCCTGTCCTGCGGCTCTACTCTGTCCCGTGGCTCTACTCTGTCCTGCGGCTCTACTCTGTCCCGTGGCTCTACTCTGTCCCGTGGATTTACTCTGTCCCGGGACTCTACTCTGTCCCGTGGCTCTACTCTGTCCCGTGGCTCTACTCTGTCCCGTGGCTCTACTCTGTCCCGTGGCTCTACTCTGTCCTGCGGCTCTACTCTGTCCCGTGGCTCTACTCTGTCCCGTGGATTTACTCTGTCCCGGGACTCTACTCTGTCCCGTGGCTCTACTCTGTCCCGTGGCTCTACTCTGTCCCGTGGCTCTACTCTGTCCCGTGGATCTACTCTGTCCCGTGACTCTACTCTGTCCCGTGGCTCTACTCTGTCCAGTGGCTCTACTCTGTCCAGTGGCTCTACTCTGTTCCGTGGCTCTACTCTGTCCCGTGGCTCTACTCTGTCCCGTGGCTCTACTCTGTCCCGTGGCTCTACTCTGTCCTGTAACTCTACTCTGTCCCGTGGCTCTACTCTGTCCCGTGGCTCTGTCCCGTGGCTCTACTCTGTCCCGTCGCTCTACTCTGTCCCGTGGCTCTACTCTGTCCCGTGGCTCTACTCTGTCCCGTGGCTCTACTCTGTCCCGTGGCTCTGTCCCGTGGCTCTACTCTGTCCCGTCGCTCTACTCTGTCCCGTGGCTCTACTCTGTCCCGTGGCTCTACTCTGTCCCGTGGCTCTACTCTGTCCCGTGGCTCTACTCTGTCCCGTGGCTCTACTCTGTCCCGTGACTCTACTCTGTCCCGTGGCTCTACTCTGAGTAGTATATCAGGTCCCTTTTGATTATCATGGAGCTGGCGCAGGGTGAAGGTACAATGAGATATAATAAAATACTCCCCACATGGGTGAGGCGCAGGGTAAGGCGCATGGTGAAGGTACATGAGATATAATAAAATACTCCAGGCGCAGGGTGAGGCGCACATTAATAAAATAGTTATTAAACTTGTAGGGTATTCCCCTTTGTTATATAAAATAAGCTTATTAAATAATTAAACAAGCACACTGTTAGTAAATCATCATCTGGAATATGCTGAAACAGTAGATGATTTTGAATTTTTAAAGCTGATGTCTGCTTTAGGTGAAGTTCCCCCCCCCCCCCCCTATAACCAAGTTGACTAGAAAATGAAATTTCGCCTTCTTATCTGACTTATTTCACACATTGAAAAGCTTAGCCGAGTTGTATTCTAATGAGTACTTTTTCCATAATCATTTTCAAACGAAGATTTTTGGTAGTTATTCTAAATATAACTTGGATTAATCAGTTTTAAATAATCGCTCACACAGCAACTATTCTGGAGAAGGTGGAAAAAACTATTTGCAGAATATACTCAAAACTTAGGGGTGATCTTTTCATAGGGAAAATGTATAAAGGCGAAAACCGTTTATTTTTTCCCCTCATAAAGACGGTTATGTCCCCTTATCAAGTAGTGCCTATTTATACGTCTAAAATTTCCATTCACTTTATGTCCACATAAAGGGACTAAAATCCGGAGAAAAATTCACCCCATCCTTCTTTAAATAAATTTCTAGTAGCCTGGTTACTAACTACTAACATTGTATTATTTTTTCATCTCTTGCTCATATCATGATTTTGATATTTATTCCTCTCACATTATTAAATACAACTCTATTTGCAACACATATTGTATATGACATTTTTTAAACTCGTTTCCTTACCTTGTAAGAAAATATATTGCTCATATCAAAACTTAATGATCATTCCTTTCTCATTAATAATAACTCACATTTTGTCACTTGTAATTGTTTCACATTGTTTAACACTTTTTTCTTACTTGTATGTAAACATAAAAAAAAATTTAATGTTATTATTTTAAAATGGAAAATAAAAATATAAAAAAAACAACAATTGTCAAAAATACGTCTGAAGCATTACAACATGTGAATAGAGCTGTATAGCTTCATGTCGGTATGGAATAGACTACATGGGCCATCGCAGTCGCAAATGTTTGTTATAGTCTTACTGGTAAAGGTATTGCAACAATGGGGATATTGGTGGGGGTCACCGACTGGGGTTTAGGGTGTTTAGGGGGTGACTCGAAAGAAAAGACCTAAAACGTTCAGTTTTACAGTACCACTGTGGCACAACTTATGTGCAGTCAATCGAAGCCATTTGCTACACAGGTACATTGGCTTTACCGTGCTTTCTAACAATCTGGTGATGTCAATCTCGTATCGAACGATGATGTTGTCAACAATACTTGACGCCGACAACCATTACGATGTCAACAATAGGCCTACTTGACGCCGACAACCATTACGATGTCAACAATACTTGACGCCGATAACCATTACGATGTCAACAATACTTGACGCCGACAGCCATTACGATGTCAACAATACTTGACGCCGACAGCCATTACGATGTCAACAATACTTGACGCCTACAGCAATTACGATGTCAACGGGCTGTAAGTTGGCTATGTGTAATCTGGCAAAGTGTGAGATGACTAGGCGTAAGCTGACTTGACTAGGTTTAACATGACTAAGTGTAAGATGACTAAGTGTAAGATGACTAGGTGTAAGATGACTAATTGTAAGATGACTAAGTGTAAGATGACTAGGTGTAAGATGACGAAGTGTAAGGTGACTAAGTGTAAGATGACTAGGTGTAAGATGACGAAGTATAAGATGACTCAGTGTAAGATGACTAGGTGTAAGATGACTAAGTGTAAGATGGTTAGGTGTAAGATGACTAGGTGTAAGATGACTAAGTGTAATATGACTAAGTGTAAGATGACTAAGTGTATGATGACTAAGTGTAGTATGACTTAGTGTAAGACGAGCTATACATGCTACTGTCGAGGATCACTGTTATGTCTAAATGGTGTAAGATAATTTATGGCTCTTTGTTGATGCCTGATTAGGTTAATGTTCCTTTGAAACTGAACTTGTTTCAGTCAAATAAACAATACAAAATTCTATACAAAAACGACTTCTTTCCATTAAACATTAAATCGAAAACAAAAGCTTCGGTCGTTCAAACATTCCACATTTTTATATGGTGGTCTTTGTTTTAGTTATCTTGATCACACTAGCGATACACGTGGCGTGGTTCACGAGACTGTTTTGTTTGTATGGGTTCAAGTTTCAAGCGTAACTTTATCCAGACCAGATACAGCCGAAGTGACATTTGTCGCGGTTGTCTGGCGTAAAGAAATGACACAATAAGTTATGGAAACCAATTGGATATTAATGTATCGCCAAAAAATAATGTATTGTCAGCCTTTAAGTGATCGATGCGTTTTGTTTACAAAATGTCTTTTGATGTTATTGAAGGCACAATGCAGTGTTATCCTGATTATCCGCAACGATAACTGTTTCACAAATTGCGTTTTTATCATAAATAATAAAAGTCTTTCTATGAAACAGTTTTTGATTTAATGATTGGTGTTTTATATTTTAGTTTTTGTGTTTTCTTTCTGAATGTTTGGATTTAGAATAGATAGTTATTTTACATTTCATGACGTCTGATGTTTGGTGCTAATGTAAGTTGTCGTCTTGTAGCGTAAAGCCAAACATAATGGTGATAGATGACGACTTGTACAGTAAAAATTGTGAAGCTGAAATCCTTTACGCTTTACATTAAGCATTTTTTTACGTTTCAGAAATGTCGCATCAGTGATGCATTTCTCAATGAATAATCAATGTGTATTTTATATTGCTTTTATGAACGTTGAGTTGTGTAGAAGACCAAGACATTCACGCATGAGTGCACACCAACAAGTCAGGTAAAACTAAGATAAATGAACCGTGTAAAAGTAATGTAAAATGTAATCTTTTCAGATATCAATAGAACAAATGACGTATGACTTCTACACTTGATTCTTATGCTTTAGAAAGTTATGTTACATTTTACAGCACGTTATAGACTCTTGCAAAAGTTACGTTTATATTGTTATTTTTTGTTAGATTTTTTCATTCAAAATCATCAGGTGCATTTATCTTTGTATGTTACCTATTTAGCTATGCATCTGGAAAGTGTTATGTCATTTACCGTTCCTTATGTTAATGTAACATATAGGGCAGACCTTTGCTTCTGGCAATGAAGTGAACTTCACAAAGGTAGACATACGTAGGCCTACATGACAACACTCGTGTAACTTTAGATGTTAGAAAAACAAATATAAAACCTGTAAAAGTACAAACTTTTATAAATGCACTGAAAACAAGAAAATATAAATAATTTTCTATCATTCATAAAAGCTTTTGTCTCTCATGAGAATTCATATTGACTATAGGCCTATAGTTCTAGAAACTATGTATCTTAAGGAAACTGACGTCAACTGTTTTCAATAGTTCTGGTTTTGTTTAATCTTGTAACAGAGTTTAATATATGTTTGTCACGTGGTGTAGTATGTAGTGGTGTCGTCTTGTCGTCTCTTGTAGTGGTTGTGTCGAGCGGTCGTACCTGTTAACTGCATACAACAGGTAATAACAAAATTAATAAATCATTAAACCATGCAGAAGACGCAATCAGCAAGCCATAAAATGTTATCTAGATCAAACATGACTTGTAACGGGGTGATTCGTGACATTATAAATACAATTGGCTATTTGTCGTTAGGAGAACGTAGCTTATTATTTTTGTCTGAACTTGTGAGTGTTCTTTTTCAAACGTTTGGACCATTTTTCTAATTTTTTTCAGATTGACTTGATTATTGTAGTGCTTTATTTTCTAATTCATAGTCTCGAAAGATTACTTTTGTGAATGTTTGTTTTGTGATAGATAATTTGAAATGTTATTTAATATAATATTTAAAGATACACTTTTAAATCTGTAAAATTCGAAAATATAATTTAATAAATTAAACTTACATATTGGAAAATGTAAATGTTGTTCTAATAATATGCATATTGTCGTGAAGCATTTGCAACAGAAAATATTTGAAGCTTACATCGTATGACTCATTGACCGTGTTTAGTTGTAGTGTATTGGAATAATTTTTATTGTCACAACTTGAAAGTGTGGTCTGATGATGTAGATGATTGTTGTGGTCTGATGATGTAGAAGATTGTTGTGGTCTGATGCTGTAGATGATTGTTGTGGTCTGATGATGTAGAGGATTGTTGTGGTCTGATGATGTAGAGCAGGGGTTCCCAACCTTTGTTTACTCTAGAGCACATTCTAAAATATCGGTAGGGTGGCGGGCTCCACATATTTTAAATCGACAAACTCCTTCCATAACTTGTCATTTTCCCATAATTTATTTTCTTATTTTCTTATTTTCTTACAGTCATAATGTATTAATAAATAATAAACAAAAATGTTTCAAAATAATAAAATTATTTGACATTTTTTTCAAATTGCATACACACAGAGAAATGTATTTACAAAACGTAAATAGTTACTAAATAGTGCAGTCTGGCTTGCCGCTAGACAAGTTGGGACACAAAATGAAAAACGTGGGGCGCCGTGATTTTCTTTTACTTTTACTTCGGCGCCCCACGTTTTGCATTTTTTGTCATAATGCGCACGCAGTTTGCGATCTCTTATAGTAGAGTGATCGCTTGCATTATTGTGATGAATAGCATATATTTGCTACTTTTTAGTTCCATCAGAAAACGTAGTTTTTTTTTAATTTTTTTAATGATAATTATTTTCTACTTATTAGTCTTTGTCTGTTTGTTTGCATTCAAATCTTGCTATCGATTTTATCTTCTCGCATTCACTTTTTTTGGGTAAATGAAGACAAACACTCACAAAGAACGAACACAAAAATAAAAGGGACTTATACCAGGCATGACACGCTTATTATTCAGGAACAGCTGGAGGTTCGTTCTATCTGCTT